CATCACGGCTTTGAACGCAGGGCTTGGAAAAGGAATAAATCTTCAAGATCTGAGGGCTTGAAGTCTGCACATTAGCTCCCCTTAAACCCTGAGTGCATTTAACTTGGGAGGTTAGAAACCACAGCCAAAGAAATCTCTTTTGATTCACAACTTGTTTTGAGCAGTCACCCATAAAGCAGCCAGTGAATCACTCCAGCCAGTTAGTCATGCAACCACACTGAATGTACACTCAAAAGGCTGCACAAAATAAACAGCCTGCAGCTCCAGATAACACACACACAGCTCATTTGCGCTATCTGGCATCAGCATATATTGTTAATAGGACTCCTACACCAAACCCTTAGGAAAAGACGCGCTCAGTAAGCATCTCCAAATCTCTCTCCCCATCAGTATTTTTCCCGTCTGCTTCGCGCTGTGTTGCTTTCAAAACAATTAAGACCAGTAGAAGTTTTAAGACTCTTTCTCTCTCTTTCCGCACCCTTCTTGCTGGTAACGTCCTGCTGGGGTTACAAGCAGCGGAGGGCTAAAGCGGGAGTTAATCCCAATCACCAGCGGACAAGTCGAAAATAAACAGCTCTGGTGCGAAAAGAAATCTCCCTGCGAGGAGGGAGCAGCAGGAATACGGGGGGGGGGGGGGGGGGGGGGGAGGGAGGGAGGTTCCCGGTCCTTTGACACATGAGTGTTATAAACAGCTCGGGTCAGGGATCCTATAAAAGCCTCCAGCCAGATCTACCGGCCAAGCCAAAGCGCTAAAACATCTTTGGGAAGAGCCGCGCGTAAAATCTTCCTGCGCAGCCGGGGGGAAGGAGCGTGAGCCCTACCTTCGCGTCCTGCTCCCTGAGGAAATCCCGCAGGTTTCCGCGGAGGAGATCCCGCACCTCCGAGTGTCTGTTCAAACAGAGGCTTAGCCAAAACTCCCGGCGAGAGCTCCCTCCCCTCCCTGGGAGGGTGCCGGAACCCTTGAATGGCAGATCTGGTGGCCCTATTGTGGAAAAGAGAGGGCGATTGCCAGGGCGGCGTCAGCAGCTCCGCCGGGAACCGCCGGCCGAGCCCGGCCGGGCAACGGCCCCGCAGCGCCCGGGGAGGGGCCGCCCCCCGCCCCGCTCCCCTCCCCGCCCGCCCCCCGGCCCCCCTCGCCCCGCTCCCCCCCCCCCCCCCCCTTTACACTCGCCTGTTGCTCCCCGTGGGGAATCAAGGCAGCGGCATCCCCCTCCCCGCGCTTTTATCCCGGCATCGCCCGATGTGTGGTTGGGGGGGGGGGGGGGTGGATGGGTACCCCCTTCCCGCCGGGGCAAGGGGGCAGATGCCACCGGTGTGTGTCCCCCCCCCACCCACCCGGTGCGCCGGGAGCTCCGCAGCGCCCTTCAACATCGGCGGGGGCCCGGGGGGGCTGGGGGGGGGGACACTCTCCCGGAAGGTGGGGACACACACACACATACACACACCGGGAGCGAGCTGCTGTGTGCCCTGCCTGCAGTTTACATTACGTTAGGGGGAGGAGGAAGAGGAGAAATGCATTAAAAATGTCTTAAAAAAATAATAATAATAATAAAAGCACGCATCGAGCCTCCGATTCCGACGGCAGTTGCTTTCTGCACTTCTATTAATTACGCGCTTTAAGTTGCGAATTTTATTTGTTCGCTAAATAAAAGAAACGGTCGTTATTTGCCTAACCCGGCACTTAAAGAATTTCCTCTGTCAGAGAAAGCCCGTTTCCTTTCTCCTGTTTCCTCTGAGCAAACATCCCCATCACATTCACCTTCACTCCCCAAAGGATCTTTTTTTTCAGCCCATATTTCTAGACAGCATCATACGTACATATTTGTGTGTGTATATGAGTATATGCATACATGTGTTTCAAGACATGTAACTTACTTCAGCTCCACGCAGAAGAAATAGCAAGTCAGGTTACTACAGCACATAAATCATCTGAAAACTTCCCTCCCCCCCACAACGCAAGATATATAACCTGTCCTGAATGCTTTTATTTAAAATTTCGGCTTTAATTGCCGGTGCCGCTTTGGGGGATAACCCGCACCCCTATTTAGAGCAGGGAAAGCCGGTCGGGGGGAGGCGGGGGGCCCCGCCGGGACCCCCCCGGAGCCAGGCCGGGAGCGCTTCGGCGGCTGCCACTCGTGTCCTCCGTGTATTTACAGCCACAGCTCTCCCCCGCCTATATTTATCCGTACAATGCAATGGAAGGGCTTAGATCTCGAAATAGAAGCCGAGAGCAATAGATGGCAGGCACGGGCCTTTTTATAAGGGGAAACGAGTTGTTTATTAAAGAATTAAAATTAAACACCAAAAAAAAAAAAAAAAAAAAAAAAGAAAGAAGGGGGGGCGTGGGATCCAGCCTGGGGCTTTCCCGAGGTGATAGCCGGGTGCGCGGCCGCCGTCTCCGGGCGCCGGGCCGGGAGCGGGAGGAAACCGGCAGCCGGCTCATTAGGTTTTATTTTTATTTTTATTTTTATTTTTATCGGGGGGTGGGGGGTGTTTTTTAAATTGAGGGACTTATGGGCACAGCCTCCCCACCGCCCCAGCATCCTTCTCAACCCCGGGGAGCCAGCCTTCCCCGCCGCGCTCCTTGCCGCTCCTGCACAACGCGCACGGCGGCACCGGGAGGCACCGGGGGGCACCGGGGGGCACCGGGGGGCACCGGGAGGCACCGGGGCTGTTTCTGCTCCCTCCAAAAACCCCTCCTGTGGTGTGTGTGTGTGTGTCCCCCCGCCGCCTTGCACCCCCTGTCCCTTAGCCGCCCGCGCTGCGGAGGAAGAAGAGGTCTCTCTATTTCTCTCATTTTCGCTCTCTCTTTCCCCGCTCTCACCCTCGCCGAGGGGATTTACCGGGCTCGGTGATTTCCCGATCCCTTTGGCCGGGCGAGGGGGTTCCTGGGGCTCCACGCCTGCTCCCGGCGAGTTTTGGGACAAGACGGCGAGGAGTTTAGTGGTGCTGCAGTCGCTCTGCGAACCCCCTATCCAGCTATTATTAGCGAGTGTCTCTCTTCAATCTTTAACCGTTATAATAATAGTAATAATAATAATAAAATAATAATATTATTATTGCCATTAATTATCCATGTGTCTCTTATTACGGCCCATCGTCCCCAGCCACATCACACGGGGCTCACAACAAGCCCCGGGCCCGGTCACCCGACCTGCCACCGCCGTGGGGCTCCCACTGAAAAGAAACCAAGGGGGACGCCGGCGGTGTGAGGGAGGGCGATAAACTCGCGTGGATCTACCGGGGCGGGGTGGGGGGGTGTTGGAATGCGTCATGATGGGCTAAACCTGCGCCCTGGGGTTTGCAGCCTCCAAACCCAAGAGAGCCGGTTAGCGGGGAGAGGGTGGCAGGGCGGCCGGGAAGGCACCGGGGGCTCCCCGGCCCCACCGTACCCTTCCCCCGTGGACCCCGGCCTGACACCCGTGGGGCTCCGCGGATGCGGAGAGGGCCTTGGCGCTGGCGTGGGGTTGTCCGCCCACGGGGAAAGAGGGAGAAAACCTCAGCTTAAGCCCCGGCCAGAACGAGCGGTTGCCCGGCACGGCTGCCTGGCGAGGATTTAATGACATTTTCCCCGGGAAAGGAGCCACCTGGGGAGAGGGGAGGAAGGACACCGGGTGTGTAAACCTGGATCCGGGGACAGGGAAGGGTGCGAGGACACTTTGGCTGCACACAGTGGGGGATGGACGGCCCGGCCCGGCGAGGTGTGGGAGATGGGCAGGGAGAAGGCGCCTCTGCCTCTTTTTTTAAATCTAGAGATGGGGGAAATGGGAAAATAAAGAGGGCGAAGAGTATCCAAAATAAAGGTGAGAGCCTCGAGGTGGCATCGCCGGCCTGAACCGGGTCTCTCCCGGCCCCCCCCGCCCTCATCGGGGCTTCCCCGGACACCCCGTCACGGTCCCCTCGCTGTCCCTGCCCGGGGGGGTCACCGTGGACCGGCCCATCGAGGATGGAGACACGGCCACCCCGCACCCGCGGCGATGCGCTGCGCCCCTCTGCCCGCACAGAGATCATCGGGAGGGAGGGGAAGAGATTTAATTTCCACTTTCTCTTCTTCGGAAAAATAACCTTCTTTTTTTTTTTTTTTTTTTTTTTTTTTTTTAATTTGTTTGTTTGATGGATTTTTTGTGTGTGTGCTTTTTTTGTTTGGTTTGTTTTTTGGGATTTTGTTTTTGTTTTTGTTTTGGTTTTTTTTGATGTGTGTGTTTGGGGTTTCTTGGATTTTTTTTCCTAATCGTCTCCACACAGCGGACACTTCCCGAAGAAGCGTTTTCAAACCCACGCTCAGACACGACAGGAGAAGCCACCCCGCTCCAGACTCTCCTGCCGAGCGCCAGCGCAAGGGAGTGTCTTAATTACCGCTAATGACCCGCGGAGATGATGCGAGTGGGTTATCTGCAGCCGGGTAGAAATCAATTAAAGGAGTGACTGTTAGGGGAGAAAGTGAGAGACAGGAAAGTGGGAGAGACCGTTACAGCGGAAAGCGGGGATTTCGGTGATATTTTCCGGAATTTCTCCCTCTGGAAGAGGATCCCCGTGGAGCATATTTCGCGCAGCCCGCTCTTCCTTTCTCTTTCTGTTTCTCGCCCCGTTTGCTGCGGATTTCCCCGAATTGCTCAAGAGCTTCCCGGGAGCGCACCGGCCCCGCTTCGAAATTACCATTAAAATCACCGCAAAGCCGGGGGGGGGGGGGAAAGAAACGCGGCTTTCCTTGGGCATGGCGGGCTCCAAACCCGTCTGGAAATAAAAATAATCGGGGGGGGGGGGGGCACAGCGGCCCTCCCAGCCCCGCACCGCGATGGGGCTGCCCGCGGGCGCGCTGTGCTCCGCGCCTGGCAGCGCTGGAGCTGCACAGGGGCTCTTTGACCCTGGGAGGACTTGTCCCCCCCCCCCAACACATCCCCCCTACCCTTCACCCCCCCCTCAAGAGGCCCTTCCAGCCCCGGGCGCCTCTTACTCCGCTTCCCCCCCCCCCCCCCCCCCGCCCCTCTCCAAGGACTCACCGTAACAGGAGACCTGCAAAGCTCCGTTGTGGCCGCTGCTCTCCTGCAGTTTGAGGTTGCTCTCCGGGGGGGTTTTGCAGGGACCTCGCTGCATGTAGAGGTGGGGGGGTTGCTGCTGCTGCTGCGGGGGGTATTTGTTAAAGGAGGCCGGAGCCCCAGCCGAGCCCGCAGCCTGCGCGTTGCCATCCAGGGACTGACATTCCTGCTGGCTGTAGCGGCTCCGGCACTTCGTGCTGCTGTCACCAAAGCCTTGTCCTTTGCTGGCCAGGAAAGCCGGGCTGAACTTGTCACTTGCTTGAAACGCCCTAAAAGGCGAGGAGCCTTCTGTGCCCTGGGAGGCTGCGTTGTAGTAGGAATCCATGGCAGCCGGATCACAATAAGAAACACAAGTATCAGCATTCATTCCTAAAATTAAAAGGCCCGAGTGTCCTTAATGCGCTTGGAGGGGCACCAGGAACCTCTCTTTCTCTCTCCCTCTCTCATACACACACTCACAGCTGGGCTAGGGAGCTCTAAGAGGATTCAGATGTTCTTGAAAGCTGACCAGATCTCCAAACCCCCTTAAGATCTCGCACAGTAAAAGGGGTCTTTTTCTTTTTCTCCCTCCCTCCCTCTTCTCTCTCTCTCTCTCTCTCACACACACACACACTTGCCCTACGTCTCTTCCTCCAAACTATCTACACTCTAAAGAAGCTCTTCTCCGCACTTTCCCCCCCAACATAGGGGAAGAAAAAAAAAAAAAAAAAAAAAAAAGAGAGAGAGAGAGAGACCTCTCCCCCAATTAATATGTAGATGATGACAGTGGAGGGGAGGGGGCCCGGGAAGGGGTGTGTGTATGTGTATGGGGGTGTGTGGAAGCAGAGAGGGGTGGAGGTCATATCTTCTGCGTTATAAAAAAAAACCCAAACCAAACCAAAACAAAAAAACCCAAACAAAATTAAAAAAAAAAAAACAAAAACCAAAACAAAACCAAAAACAAAGCAATAAACACCCCCCCCAAAAAAAAAAAAATACAAACAATCCCCAAAGTTTTTTATGAGTAAGAAAAAATAGAAAAGGGACAGATGTGGGATCCGCGCAGGCGGAAGCACCGCGGCCGATTGAACGGTTGGCCCCGGCCCCCTCCGCGGGGACCCCCTCCTCCGCGCCCCCCTCCTCTGGCTTTAAGGCAATTCGGCTTTCCCCCGCAGCTATATGCCTTGAAGCCTTCCCCCCGCCGTTAACCCCTTCGGGGTCGGCAGCTCTCCCCGGGAGCCGTTGGCCTCCCCTGGCACGGCGGTGCTGCGGTCGCCCATCGCCGGGCGCTACGCTGCTGCTGGTCGTTATTTCTTTACCTCTAAAACCCGTGCTCTCTCCAGGTGTAAAACAACTGGATGGCAAGCGGGAGGGCGCCAAGGAGGGATTTTAACAGGGTCGCCGTGCACACAAAATTGGCCGCGGCTTCTGGGGCTGCCAGAGGTGAGCTTACGAAGGGACAGAGGCTGGCAGGAGCCCTTTTTGGTTTGAGGGGTCAATTGCAACCCAAAAAGAGCTTAAAAATAAATCAATACTCACCTTCCTTCGCCCCCCTCCACCTCCCGCCACTCAACCTGATTGCCCTCCTCCCCCGGTTAACTCCTGCTACCCCTTACACTTACTCTTACCCTGCCTTCCTCCCATCCCCACATCTGGTTTCTATTGCTCGCTTACCTTGAAGTTTTCAGTAATAAAGATATTACGCAAACTACATCCACAGTTCTTCAGTCAAAAAAAAAAAAAAAAAAAAAAAAAAAAAAAAGAAAGAAAAGGGAAAAAAGAGAAAAAGAAAGAAAACGGAAGAAAATAAATGCCCTTAACCCCTTCGGGAGCGGGAGCAGCGGCTCTGGGCTCCCGGCGGGCTCCCCCCGGGGCTCGGCCCTTGTGTCCCCCCCTTCTCCCCTTGGCTTCCCCCCCCCCCCGCCTCCCATGGAGAGATGGAGGAGAGTCGTGCCTTTCCTCTGGGTGCGTGTATGGGGGTGCGGCCGCCGGGGCTGGAGGGGACACACACACACACACACACACACACACACACACACACACTCGTGGCCGTGGCCTTAGCCGCCCCCCCCCCCCGCCTCGGCTTTACTCTAGGAGCAAGACCGGCACCGCCGTTTCCATTAACTTGGATCTGACAAGAACAGCCCCCCCTGCCCCTCGCCACCCCCCTATTCCCCCCACATTTCCCCCCACCCCCCCCAGAAGCAGAAGGGATTTCTAGCGAGGTCGTTGTTAAAAACAGCCGGAGACGGATTCATTTACTAGATTTCAAACCATTTTCCGAGTCTCCCTCAGAGCAGCGCTGGGCTCGCTCAGCTTTCTGGTCCAAGAAAGTTTTCAGCGGATTTGCCTTCCTTATTCTCTTTATTACCTTGCTTAATTTTTTCCTCGTCGTTTCTCTCTCCCCTCCCAAACTCCCCCACCACAGCCCCCTCTCTCTCTCTCCCTTGTCCACGACCTAATAAAAAGCAAAGCGACTCGATGCATGAGAGTCTTTCCAAAAAACAACTTCGGGGCGGCCAAGGAAAACGGGGCGCTGCGGGTACCCCGCTTTCCGCATCCCCGGCTCCGCTGCAGCGGACTCGCAGCCGCACTCAGCGAGAAGATTCGCGGGGGGGGGGGGTGGGGGGGTGGGTGGGTGGTGGTGGTGGGTGAGCGCATTAAATACGGGGTTTTCAACCAGTTACTTCCCCGGCAATTATTTTGGGCGAACGAAGAAGCAGCCGGAAAGAAATTATGCGAGGGGCAGTCCTCGATGCTGCGGCCGTTATGCTCGGCCTCGGGATTTCTGTTCGGCAAAGTTAAATAACAGCAAGAACAAAAACTAAAGGAAGAGGCTCCGGGATCGTGGAGGAGATGATATATATTTTTTTTAATATATCTATATAGATTTTTTTTTTTTTTTTTCCAGAAGCGCCGCGGTACCGGGGCTCGCAGGGACACTCCGGTTTGGCCGAGCAAACCCCGGGGTCTGCCTCGCTCGGAGCTCTCCGCCAGCCCCTCCTTGCATTAAACTGTAACGAAAAGTCCATTAGTTCCCAATCAGGGCTAATCCGCAGCCCGCGGAAAGGACCGCAATAAAACCCTCTCTCTAATGGCCAATTTGTGTCCCCGGGAGCGGGAGGTTAATTCGGGAATCGTTACCGGGGGAAAGGGTGCGATCTGGCGGGGAGGATGGGGGGGGGAATAACGGGGGGAAGCGCTTTTCTCAACGGTTTTCGTTTCGGCTGGGTTGGGTTTTGCGGGAAGTCCTCTCAGCGAGTTTGCCGGGGGATTCCCCCAGCCCCCGTTAGCTGGGAGCGGAGTTTGGGGGATATAACAGCAAACGGGGAGCCTGCAGCCGCCCCTCCCCGTTAAACGGGGAACATCCCCGCCTGTGGCAGCGGGCATCGGCAGAGCTGGGGTAGAAAGGGACACACAACCACTTGAAACCCGATCTCCCCCTTTTTTTTTTTTTTTTTTCATCCGGGTGACCCCAAACCTGCCCTGTCTCGGCACCAAATGCGTCCAAAAGGGAAGGGCGAAAGAGCGGCCGAAAGGTCCGCGGCAACCGGTTGCCAATTCCGTGCGTATTTGTGCTTTATATCGAGACCGTTTCCAGGTAGAGCCGCTGTTGGTTTCGGAAGGGGTCACTTTCCGGGTGTCCCTTCCCACACAGGGCTGCGGGAGCACGGGTGGCAGCCAAGTGGTCCCGCGTTTCGGGACTGCAGCCCCCACGGAGCCTGGGGAAACGGCCGGGGCTCCAGCTGCGGGCGACCCAGGTGTCCCCTCCCGGCGACACCCCAGGGAGAGGGGAGCAGCCCAGGACAGCCTTGTCTGGCTTTTTTCTTTTTTTTCTTTTCTTTTTTTTTTTTTTTCCCCCCCCGAGGAGCCGTTTCCCTTCCACCGGGGAAGGAGCGAGGAGCGGGCATCGCTCCGGGGTGAAGACCCGATGCGAGGCGCAAGAGATAACGGGCGGATCTCTGCGAGAAGAAGAAAAAAAAAAAAAAAAAAAAAAAAAGAAATAAAAATCTTGATTTCCCTGCGATTGAAACACTCGGGCTTGGATCACGTCCAGGGAAAAAGCAGAGGTGCCCGCTGGTCCCTTCACACCGGGCACCGGCGGGGGGGAGGAAGCAGAACCGCGCTTCTCCACTTTCCCAGCCAACGCCGAGAGAGAGAAACCCGACGGGTGCCCCCCCCCCCCCTTCCCCCCCGGCCCCCCAAACCTCCTCCCCTGTCCTCCCGGGGCTCCGGCCGCTCGGGAGCTGCAGTCGGCGGGGTGGCTGGAGAGAGGGACGCCGAGCCTTCGGGGGGCCGGGTCCAGCACCCCAAGTCCGTCCCCGTCCCCCCCGGCGGTGGGGGAGTAAATAGCTGGGTGCAGGGAGTGGGGTCATTTCACCGGGGAGGGGGATGGAGGGAGGGGGGGGGGGTTGTTTCACACCTCCCGGCTCTTGGGCAGAGCCCTGCGCTTGGAAACTGCCTCCAGTTTGTTCCCCCACTGGGTTGATCGGTTTGTGTGGTCACTTCAGAGCTGCGGGCTCCTTTTGTACCGGGCCGAGATCCGAAAGCGACCTATTTATAACACCACTGCTAGAGGGAAGAGAGGGGAAAAAAATATTCGTGCTAATCTCCCCCAATTTTTTTTTTTTTTTTTTTTTTTTGTCTCCATCGGAACGGAGGTTACATCTTTATTTATTTCTAAGGGAGCGGAGCTTGCCTAACTTCGCTCTCCTGCCCTCGGCGCCTTTACTCGGGGATAAATGTATATGCCGTACCTATGCAATGTCGGCGATTGTTCTTAAAACACGCTCCTGGTGTCACGAAGAGACTTGCCGACCGCTCCCGCTCCTTCCCGGGGAAAGCGGAGAGGAGGCTCTGAGCCGGGCCAGGCTGGCCCCGGCCCCTCCGGGCTTGTGAGGGCGAAGCTTTTGTCGCCACGTCCCGGGCTGGGGTCCCCCCACCGCCTCTCACCCCCCCGGCTCCGCTCCCCGCAGCCTCCCGTCCCGCAGCCCCCGGCCCGCCCGCCCGCCAGCCCGCGGCGGGGACGAAGGTTTGCTCCACGCGGGTCCACTGGTTGGTTGCCCCGCCACGCGTGGCTGTACACCTCTACGTTTTCACCAAAAGCGGCACCTGCTCGGTCCCGCGGGTGCCCGGGCTGCCCGGCCGGGGGAGGCCGCTCGGATTCGGTGGATCGCTGCGGGCCGAGCGGCTCCGCTCAGGCTTTCTAGTCAAGGTTTTTTTTTTTTTTTTTTTTAATTTTTATTATATTTTTTCCGTTTTTTCCTTTTGTTTTTATTTTTTTCTTTTAATTTTATTTACTTTTCTTCTTTTTTTCTTTTTTTTTCTTTTATTTTTTTCTTTTTCTTTTTTATTTCTTTTTTTTTTTTTTTAATTTTATTTACTACTTTATTTTTATTTTATTTTTTAATTTTAATTTTATTTATTTATTTATTAAAACCTCTTTTTTCCTTTTAATTTTTTAAAGTTTTTTTATTCTTTTCATTTTAATTTCTTTTCCTTTTCCAGGA